ACACCTGCGTTGCCTCCAATGCAGCTGGATCGACCTCGCACTCCGCCAAATTGGACGTCAACGGTACACGTTTGTCGACGAAACTTGGACACAACAATTCCTAACCTCTGCATTCTGCACAACGACTAACCTGACCTATTCCCCTCTCGACTTTCTTCCATCTTCGTCATTATCACTCGGTCCGTTCTTTCATTTTCTTTTCGATCCGCTTCTTTTTCTCCATTTTATTTTGCTATTTCAGTTCACGGTGTTATCCGTATCCCCTTTTCGTTGCTTCTGGTTTCGTTGAACCGCGAGTGGATCAGCCGTGGGAATCAGGCGGTGCAAAAGAAAGAAAAGAAAACCGAGGGAAATCGAATTGGTGAAATGTGAAAAAGAGAGAGAGATGACACACCGTCGAGGCGGAGAGAAATTTTTCTTCGTTTCAGTTCTCTAGTTTTTCTCTCTTTTTCCAGTAATTCCGAAATTATTGCCGTTCAAGTTCGGCGAGAAACCGCTTAACTCCGGTCAAGTAGTAACGGTACCGTGCGCCGTGGTCGAGGGCGATCAGCCCTTGAAGCTTCGCTGGACCTTAAACGGTCATGCGATCTCGCCGCACTCTGGAATCTCAATCGTGGATCTCGGCGGACGGGGCGCCATACTCAGCATAGGATCCGTCCAGGCGATGCACGCTGGAACGTACACGTGTATCGCGGAAAACCTTGCCGGAAGGCACGAGCTCTCGGACGATCTGATTGTCAACGGTGCTTAAATTTAAAAAGAAATATCGATCAGTCTGATTCGAACGTCATGTACCTTATATATTTTGTCTTGTCTCCGTTTCAGATATATTCTAGTTGAATCTCCTTTATCTCTATTTCCTGTAGCAGCATTTTCACTTGCTTGAGTAACGTTTACGACAAAATCCACCCTTCTTTGTTTTTTCTCTTATATTTTATTTCGCAATGGCACCTTTTGTTTCAACCGAACAACCGAGCGGGGGCAAAACGAATTTCGCGTGTAACTTGAACAAGAAGAGAGTTTGTTGTGGATCGCGTGGTCTTAAGTACATAAGTTCTGGCGAGAAACGTTAAACGTCTATTTTCTCCTGCCTCTCCTCTCTCTCTCTCTCTCTCTCTCTGTGTATATCTCTCTGTGTGCCTGACTCTAGAGATCTTGTCTGTCTGTCTCTATCTCTCGGCAGTCGCTCCGCATCTGCAGCCGTTCTCGTTCGACGAGGCCAACTCCGGCGATCTGATAATCGTCCATTGCGCGGTCGTGAAGGGGGACACGCCGATTTCGCTCAAGTGGTTGTTCGAGGGACGCCATTTAGAAGTAGGCGAAGGAGTGGGTATCACCGCGTTGGGGAATAGAGTGTCCGCTCTGACGATACCCGCTGTCAGGGGAGAGCACGCCGGGGAGTATGCTTGCGTCGCCGATAATCCAGCCGGTCGTGCTAGGCACAGCGCCCATCTCAAAGTGAACGGTACAGAGAACGAGATCATCCACGCACGTTTAATCACGGTATTCAAGCAGAATTAACAAAATTAATCCGAACAAAAAAATGAAAAAAAAAAAAAAAAAGATACGAATACAGAGCAGAAGAGTGGTGTATTGTCGGGAAAGTTTGGAAAAAGAAAGAACGCAAACAGGCATGATGTTGTGTCCAATTTATATTATATATTTATGACGTGTAGAGCCATTTTGAAACGCATCGTTCTGTTATGCGTTATTACGTGTTATTATTACCGTTGTTGCGTTTTTACGTTTTAATTGGTGATCGGCAGAAAATGTTGATCGACACGATATTGATTAATCCGCTCTTGTCGTGAACTGGTAGCTCCAAGTAGTAGACGTAACATTTATTGAGAAGAGAACGAAACACATATTACACACACATCGTCTCTATTTAACCGTTTTGTCTGCTGTTGATTGTTGTTTAATAGCGTATTATACATATATTTGAATATGTTATTTGGAAAGTCTGCATTTTGCTCGACTGTCCATATTTTCTCTTTCTTTCCATTACATATAATTATCTTCCCGCATATATCGTTTGTTTCCGAAGCATCATCGTTTAGGTAGGTCGCTCGGCCGAGCTGTAGCTTTTGGACCACAGTCCCCACTCTCGTTATCCTTGGGCTACCATGATCAAAGGTAATTTGTCCGTAGTTCAGGACGAGCTTCTTCCCCTCCCTCCACTCTTCATCCCCAGGTCCAATACTCTACCTTTTTTTTTCCGCTCTTTCTCTCTGTTTCGTTTTCTCCTTACCACTCGTACACATACGTTTATCGAACACACAGTGATTCTCTCTCTCATGCTTCTTCTCTATTCGTCTCACTTTATCTCGATCCTTCTCTCACTCTCTCTCTCTCTCTCTCTCTCTCTCTTCGTCTTTCTTCGAATTTCAATTAGCAGAAAGAAAACGACGAATTCACATTACATACACAGGGAGAGAAACGAAAAGTTTCGCCGCAGCGTTAGAGAGTTACTACTTTCCATAACGATCGTGAAAAAGAAAAAGTAGGTTTTCGACACGGAGTATTATGTTTTGAATGGAGGAGGACTACCGAGAGATCGTATGAAAGATAAGAATCGTGCGAGTCTCTCTCGCGGATCTGACAGGTGAATGAAAAAATAAAGAAAAGAATGCAACGGAAACCAATGAAAGTCGATGATGAATATGACCACGAGACATTGGGCCAAGTTTCCACTTGCTCGTGGAACAAAAAAAAAAAAAAAAAAAAAAAAAAAAAAAAAAAAAAAAAAAAAAAAAAAAAAAAAAAAAAAAAAAAAAAAAAAAAAAAAAAAAAAAAAAAAAAAAAAAAAAAAAAAAAAAAAAAATAAACGGGATCACTGAAGAAACGTGGATCAGTGGGTTCGTGGATCTAGATTACAGCTCGAGACTATCATTCCAGTCTTGCCACGGATCAATCCGTTCGATTTTGGGGATCAGCCGATCTATGCGGGGCAGGCCGCCCAATTGGCGTGCATGGTGCTGGTGGGTGACACTCCGATCGATATTACCTGGATCCACGAGGACGAGCCTCTGTCGCAATTCATGGGATACAGCGTCGGGAAACTCGGCCCACGGACATCGATCATGCTGATCGAGCCGGTTACACCGGAGCACGCTGGACGTTACACGTGTATCGCCAGCAATCCGTCCGGCAAGGCGATGCACGAGGCCACGTTGCGAGTTCACGGTTAGGGGCCAGACTAATGGGAGCATTGAATGACCTTATATACATACTAATGATTTTGAACGATGATTGGAATAATATATACGGAATGAACCAAAAAAAAAAAAAAAAAAAAAAAAAACACGTTGTTAAAAAGGCAAAAAAAAAAAAGAATATCGCCACGCGGACACGCCCGTGAGAGTATCTTGATTGCAGGCTTTGAGTTATTTGATGCATCTTCGTCGTTGCCGAAGCTGTCGTGTTTCCTTCTCTTGGCGAAGCTTTCTGGATTTCAGTTTTCCTCAGCGGAAGAGTTTTCCACGCGTTGTGTATTATAAAGCGCGTTTGCTTTCGTCACCGGGGACGACACTATTGCGCGCCGTTCCTACTCTCTCTCTCTCTCTCTATTTCTGTGATTCTTTTTTACTACTTATCTCTTTCTCTCTGTAATTCTAATAATTATGTATTTATATATGACTTTCTAATTATTATTTCCATTTTCCTTCTACGTTTTCTATTCTACCTTTATATTCTGGTCCCGCCTCTTGTTTTTTCAGCCGAGTAGAACACGCTCATGCCCAGACGCTCTTACGTTATCTCTTCCCCCCCAGCAAATTGGTTGAGCTTCACCCGCACCGTATTTGTGGCTAAGTATTTCGCCTCGTTTGATTATCCTGTCTCGTTGTCATGCTCATCGTCGCTAATTTGTCTTCGACGACACTTTTCGTTGGCTTTCCACTGTTGTTTTTAGCGTCGCGACAACAACGATCCAGGCACATGATCAATAGGATTCACAAACACCAACTATATATGTATATATATATATCTATCGATTCTCGTCTACTCGTCGCGTTCAAATACATACTCCACGTGCTTTATCTCGATCACCATCATCGAATTCTAGCCAAACATCGATATCGGTGGATGATCGCGATCATTTAGCGAGATTCTCTTATATAGGCCCTATACAAACAGATCGAGCTGTGTCTCGTTTCGTGATCACATTTCGAGTGTCGATTCTCAATTATTAATTACCTCACCGTACACCCCCGTCGCGCTACAACGTGTCCTTGTTCCAAGATGACCGACCGACCATCCAATCAAACCTGAGCGATCACCCTTTTACAACCCCATAATTCACCTTTTCAAACCTTGTGAAAAACACCTGTTTTCTAACCTATTGCCACACCTCAGCCCTTGCCTCTCTCTATCTCTCTCTCTCTCTCACCACACGTCTCACCTCGTTCATGTTTTGTACATGCATATAGTAGTGATAGTAGCCGATATATAGAGATAATCTCTTCTTTAACACGCATGTCACTTCATTTCAATCCTTAGACAACGAACACGTAGTAGACGGATTTTCTGAAGCGGTGCAGCATGATGAACCGTGCTCGAGTATCATAGTAACTATAGCGTTTCACTTTGCATGCACACGCTGTGAGCTCCTTCTGAGCCGCAACCGCGCTCTTCTCTATCTGCCTGTTGACCTTCTTTCTGTTTCGTGCAGTAGTCACCCGCATAATCATCTCGAACTCCCGCATGCCTAATTTCTCGCAGTGTTCGTCGCAGTTGCGGGGGCGAGTCGCGTTTCGTTCAGCATGCCACGAAACTGATCGTCGTGATCTCCAGTTCCTTTATTTCTTTGAGCGATCTTTTTTTTAGTAACGAAGAAACGTTCGATCGAAATGTGCAAAGTATAAGCAGTTCTGAAAGGATACATGTGTATTGAGAAACTGCGGAAACTGGTGATCACGATGCGACTGACTCCCGGATGAACTGCAGATTGGTGGATGCGCCGGGAGAGCATTTTGAATAACCTTGTTGTTCTGTAACAGTACCACCACGCTGGATTCTGGAACCTACCGATAAGGCATTCGCTCAAGGCTCTGACGCGCGCGTTGAATGCAAAGCTGACGGTTTCCCCAAGCCCCAGGTCACATGGAAGAAGGCTGCTGGTAAGTAATAAATCTTCACCGACACACAAGTCGATTCTTCTTCTTAAATCGTCCGTTTAATTTCGATTTTTCTGCAGGAGATACACCGGGCGATTACACCGACTTGAAACTGAACAACCCAGACATCAGCGTTGAAGATGGAACCTTGTCGATCAATAACATTCAAAAGACCAACGAAGGCTATTACCTTTGCGAGGCTGTGAACGGAATTGGCGCAGGACTTTCGGCTGTTATCTTCATCTCTGTTCAGGGTGAGTTATTCGACATCAGTTTTCTTCCTCGTAGAATTTCAACGATAACTTGAATATTTCGTTTCGATCAATTAGCTCCTCCCCACTTTGAGATCAAACTGAAGAACCAAACTGCACGACGTGGAGAACCGGCTGTACTGCAATGCGAGGCTCAGGGCGAGAAACCAATTGGCATTTTGTGGAACATGAACAACAAGAGACTGGACCCGAAGAGCGATTCTAGATACACCATTCGCGAGGAAATCTTGGCTAACGGAGTACTGTCTGACCTGAGCATCAAGAGAACACAGAGAGGAGATTCTGCATTGTTCACCTGCGTAGCCACCAATGCCTTTGGAAGCGACGATACCAGCATCAACATGATCGTACAAGGTATAGATCGATCTTCTCGATCTTCTCTTCACAATAATCGACGACATTCTCTTTACAGAGGTTCCTGAAGTTCCATACAGCTTGAAGGTATTAGACAAATCTGGAAGATCAGTTCAACTCTCCTGGGCAGCACCTTACGACGGAAACAGCCCCATGAAACGTTATGTCATTGAATACAAGATCAGCAAAGGCTCGTGGGAAACTGACATCGATAGAGTACTGGTACCTGGATCCCAACAGAACGTAGCTGGAGTTTACAACCTGAGACCTGCCACCACTTATCACCTGAGAATCGTTGCTGAGAATGAAATTGGCGCATCTGATCCATCTGACACTGTTACCATCATCACTGCCGAAGAAGCACCCAGCGGCCCACCAACCTCTGTTCGCGTTGACGCTCTTAACCAGCACACTCTCAAGGTATCGCTTTTCGTTAGCAATTTTCGGTTTTTAGAACGTTGGGTGTTAGAGGTGTCGCGATTCGAGTGCAATTCGGATTTGATTTGATCAGGTAACATGGAAACCACCCCCGCGCGAAGACTGGAACGGCGAGATCCTTGGATACTACGTTGGCTACAGACTCTCCTCATCCGACAAGCCTTACATGTTCGAGACCGTAGACTTTTTGAAGGAAGACGGAAAGGAACACCACTTGCAAATCATGAACCTGAAGATCTACACCCAATACAGCGTCGTTGTTCAAGCTTTCAACAAAGTTGGATCGGGACCAATGAGCGAAGAACGTAGACAGCACACTGCCGAAGGAGTACCTGAACAACCACCTCACGATACCACCTGCACCACTCTTACTTCTCAGACAATCAGAGTTTCATGGATGTCGCCACCTCTTAGCGCTGCCAACGGAGTTATCACTGGATACAAGGTTGACAAAGACTCTTACTCTCGACGAAGCATGAAGTTCTGAAGATTACTTATTATCCTTTTTATTCAGGTTATTTACGGACCCTCTGACACCTGGTACGATGAGAACACCAAGGATACCAAGATCACATCTTCCAGCGAGACCATTTTACACGGACTGAAGAAATACACTAACTACAGCATGCAAGTTCTGGCTTTCACCTCTGGCGGCGATGGAGTTAAGTCTGCACCTATCCACTGTCAAACTGAACAAGATGGTAAGTGTCGCTTGTTGAGAATACACTTGGAACAAATGGAACGAGAATACACTTGGAACGTTATATTTTTCACAGCCCCTGAAGCTCCCATTGCGATTAAGGCTCTCGTCATGTCCGGTGAATCCATCCTCGTTAGATGGTAAGTGTCGCTTGTTGAGAATACACTTGGAACAAATGGAACGAGAATACACTTGGAACTTTATATTTTTCACAGCCCCTGAAGCTCCCATTGCGATTAAGGCTCTCGTCATGTCCGGTGAATCCATCCTCGTCTCCTGGCGCCCACCAAGCCAACCCAACGGAGTCATCACCCAGTACACCGTCTACACCAAGGCTGACAACGCAGAGGAACCAACTAGCCAGAAAGTACCACCCAATCAATTAACTCACGAGGCTTCCGGACTGGATAATCAACATAGATACGACTTTTGGGTAACTGCTAGCACCAACATCGGCGAGGGAGAGGCTTCTAAGATCGTAGCTTTGGCACCTAGCGCTCGAGGTACTCTAATTCGCGGTGTTTATATTTTACCGAATTTTCACGGCGTCTACATGCGTGAAACCTTTCAGTACCGGCAAAGATCGCATCCTTCGACGACACGTTCACTGCTACCTACAAGGAAGACGTCAAACTGCCCTGCTTAGCTGTCGGAGTACCTGCACCTGAAGTGATCTGGAAGGTTCAAGGCGCCGTTCTCCAGCCCAGCGACAGATTACGACAATTACCCGAAGGATCTCTGTTCATCAAGGAAGTCGACCGTACCGATGCCGGAGAATACTCTTGCTACGTTGAAAACTCATTTGGCCACGATACCGTTACTCATCAACTGATCGTTCACGGTGAGTGATACCAGCTGTGCTAATTGGGTTTCGGCGAGATCGAAGAACGTAGAGATTGAGACGTAACGGTACTTTCTAGCTCCTCCTCACTCACCGCAAGTTACCCTCACTGCTACTACCACCAACTCTTTGACACTGAAACTGAGACCTCATGCCAACGACAATGCTCCCATCCACGGCTACACTATTCACTACAAACCGGAATTTGGAGATTGGGAAACCGCTCAGATCAGCTCTACCGCGCAGAAATACACTCTCGAGAATCTGTGGTGTGGCTCTAGATACCAGATCTACGTTACTGCTTACAACGGGTAAATTAATTCACACCTCGATCGCGTAAGGTTTCTACAGAATGAAGTTTAATTATCGCGATTCTCAGAATTGGAACTGGCGATCCATCTGACATGCTCAACACGCGCACCAAGGGCTCCAAACCGATCATTCCCGACGCATCTAGATTCATCGAAGTCTCCACTAAGAGTATCACCCTTCACTTGAGCGCCTGGTCCGACGGTGGCTGCCCCATGCTCTATTTCGTCGTCGAACACAAGAAGAAGTAAGAAAAGACTCGTAACGAAACCTGTATATTCCTCGAAACCAATGGAAATTTCTACGTAAATCGTTCGATGTGTCTCAGGCACCAACAGGAATGGAATCAGGTATCGAACAATGTGAAACCCGGCGGAAACTTCCCTGTTATGGACTTGGACCCTGCTACCTGGTATCACTTACGTGTCACTGCTCACAATAACGCTGGTTTCGCTGTAGCCGAGTACGAATTCGCGACACTGACCGTAACTGGAGGTGAGTATGAGGAGAAGTGACGGCAACGGCAACACTCGTAGCCGGTGCTAATGGTGGCTGGATTGAATGGTCGCCATATTTTTTGTTCCAGGCACCATTGCACCGGCCCGCGAGCTGCCCGACGTGAACGGTGGTGGCAACGACGAGGATCCGATGAAAATTTTCATGGCTAACTTAAATCTGGTCGTACCCGTGGTAGCAGCTATTCTCGTTATAATCGTTGCCGTCATCGTGATCTGCGTTCTCAGAGGAAAGGGCCATGGTAGCGATAAAGGTAATTGATCCTTTTCTCTTTCTACTTTCTCCCCGACGAACAGGTACGATCGCACCGCCCGTACGCAACGGTGGTAACGACAACACAGACGTCAGACGTTATTTCCCCTGGTTACCTAGCTGGCTCGACGTGAACGTGGTGGTGCCGGTCGGAGCTACGGTTGTTGTGATTATTGTAGGCATTGTAGTGATCTGCGTCGCGCTGTCCAGAAGAACTCGAGGTCCGGAACAAACACGGCTGCGAGGTATCTCATCAGCCGACGAGAAATATTACGAAGGACAATGTATACAAATTTTTTTTTATTATTTTAACTTGCTAAGTAAGAAAACAAGGTGGAGATTTATCGGAAGAATAATTTCCCTCCCCCACAAAATGAACGATCGATTGAAGTTCGTTTTGAATTTATTCGCCAAGTTTCTCCAAGAAATTATTCTTTCGACGATCGATCCACACGAGTTCGCCGCCCTACTTTCGGACAATCCTCTGCTCACATGTTATCCCGTTGTAGGTGCCGGTGGACCAACAGTGTAATCAAGTATCGAATACTTGAAATTGCTCGTTCCTCGATTCACATCTGTATCGTTGATATTTTTAGACGACGTGGTATATCAGCAAACCGGCGTTGGAGGAGCTACTCTCGACAAACGACGACCCGATCTTCGCGACGAACTTGGCTATATCGCACCACCTAACCGTAAATTACCCCCGGTACCTGGCTCCAACTATAACACCTGCGATCGCATCAAGCGAGGTACAGTGATAAGTAAGCCACAACTGCCAACAATATGATTTCTAGCTAAATTCCAATTATTGTCTAGATGTTGTCGCATCGGCACGATAGTGTTACCGTTTTATCTTTTCATTTCTTACGTGACACAAACAAACACACACACACACACACACACACATACTACACACAGATCGATATGAATCGCACAGGTAAACACGATATTTAGCCCTCACGTTATATTATGCTAAGGATATTTCGGCGAATAACCGAATAATCAGCCACTCTCCAAGCAACACACATTATTCACAAAACACGCGTTGATATTACAGTCAACTGCCAGTTGTTTCATTGTTTGCATACGCTTTAAAATGTTTTTTCTCTCTCTCTCTCTATATATATATATACATATACGAAATACGAGATCGTATATGTCCGAACGGGAACGGTTCTATTTTTCACCTCCCTTATTATTTGCGCTTAAACACGTTGCTAACGCGTAATACCAAAGCGTCGATACGCTCGTCTGAACGATCCGCAACCCTGATGACCCTGTCGTGAATCGTCAAAGAAATCGTCCTCCACCCCGAAATGGCAGATAGAGCCAAATCCGAACAAATCGGTAAGCGTGAGTCAGTCGTACGACCTTTGTAGTATATGTTCGATAGGTGGAACAGGCTCGATAAGGAGCCATTCGACGTGGGATCCGAGGCGACATATGTACGAGGAATTGAATCATTGCGCGCCAAACCGAAGATGTCCAGCACCGCCACGTATGGGCAGTACCGAAGCTCTCTCTCACAGAGGTTGGTAAAACGTAGTTTGGAAAGAAAAGACCCGAAAACGAAGCGCTCGTTCTCCTTCGTGTCGAGCCCTGACTGAGCGCCTTCGTTGTTATCGCGAGACCACGAATACTAACCCGTGCAGCTGCTGGCTGGTTGCAGTCGGTCGTTCGTTCGTAAGTCCTATACTCAGTTCTCCACACACGGTTCCCGCCATCCCTGTCGATGTTTGCACGACCTAAGCATGCCTGCGGCGCTCTGGTACCCTTTTCTTTCGCAAACAGACCAACACTTGACGCACTCATAGGACACACCTCTCTTTTTCGCCCCACTTTTCTCATAACAGAGTACCGGACCAATTTTTCCAATCGATTCTTCTTGAAATTCGTGAATCGTCGAGACGGAAGGATTTGTTCTATTTAGGACAACGAGGTTAGAGAATCGAATGGACGAAGATTGATCCGTACTCGCACGATTATCTTGCATGCAATTTTCCTAATAATTCTCGAGAATAAGTAAGAAGGAGAGAAGAGGAAATCGTAGGAATGCGATACGTAGGTACCCAACAGTGCTAGACATAGTTAGGAATGCATGAGACCAACACCTCTTGAGACGGATTGTCTACGATGAAGATCGAGATGATCTCGTACAATGAATAGAGTAGGTTTACTAGGTCTATAACGGCAGTGTCTACCCTGAAGAATCGTTTCTTTCAGGCATGGAGGATGAGATTTGCCCGTACGCTACCTTCCACCTTCTTGGATTCCGCGAGGAAATGGACCCCAGCAAGGCTATGCAATTCCAGACCTTCCCTCACCCTGGCAATGGACACTCTGGCACTATGGGACCACCTGTTGGACATCCTACCAATGCTTCTGCTCACAGCCGTTCTGGATCTCAATCTATGGTATCGAGAGATCACTTCTCTTCGACCGTCTATCGCAATTTCATCCTTCTAATCGCTATCTCTTCACCCAGCCACGACAAAACGGACGCTATTCCAGAGTACCATCCCAAGGAGGCGGCAGCGGAACTCACAATGTCTTCTCCCCCGAATACGACGACCCAGCTAACTGTGCACCCGAAGAAGATCAATACGGCTCGCAATACGGACAATACGGCGCTCCCTACGATCATTATGGATCTCGCGGATCAGTTGGACGTCGCAGTGTAGGATCAGCCCGCAATATTCCCGTCTCTGGATCACCCGAACCACCACCACCACCACCAAGGAACCACGACCAGAACAACTCGAGCTTCAACGACAGCAAGGAGAGCAACGAGATCAGCGAGGCAGAATGTGACCGCGACCAGCTTGTGAACCGCAACTACGGCGGTCAGTACAAAGAACCGTGATCGAGTAGAGGGCCGAAAGTATGAATTACGAAACACGAATCCGTCCGCGACAACTCGTCAAGGGACGAACAATTTATAATCCTCTCGCTCGAGTTGATTCATAGAGAACATGATTTCGTTTCGTCTATTCACTCCATGGTCACCTAATCGCTGCTCGTTCTTATACAGTAGAGAATATAGGCATGCCGAGTGAGTCACGGTGTACAAGAATGAACCGGGGACTCGCTGCGGAGTCTGTGTATCTAATCGTTTTATAGCTTCCACGAGATTTGCATGCTACGTGTCGTCGTAGTAGTGTTACCGTTGTGTCAATCGTGCCGTGTGTTTTTCTATTTCAGTGAATGCTCGCGGCAAGGACGGCATGACCACCGAGGAGATGCGTAAACTCATAGAGAGGTCAGTAGAGATCGAGTGAGTTTGGTTAACGGTGTACGGATATGATAAAAAAAAAAATAAACAAAGAACGTCACCGTTCATGCCGCTGTGTCTCGAGCGATTTCTTTGCCTCGAGAACTGTCATTGACTGTTTCTCGATACTATAAATTGGCCAACTTTTTTCCATTTTTTTTTCTCTTTTTTTTTCACTTATCAGTAGCTTCGACTCTCGCTATCTCCGAACGAACACGTCGTTCGTGTTTACTCGACTATCTTCGTCTTCCTTTTGCTAAGACCTGCTGCTCGTATATTACACATATTTTTTACACGAATCATTGGTATACTTTTCGTAGATTCGTATTGTTATTTGATTTTGCTGGGCGTTGCGAAAGAAAGCAAAAAAAAAAAAAAAAAATGATTAAATGGCGATCGAGTGCACGGTGGTTTACGCTATGAAATTTGAAATAATCCTTTTGACAATCTGTCTAACGTTACCTCTGACTTTTCTCTTGTTTCATGACTCTTTACGCAGGAAGCCGTAAGTTCGTTAGACAATAATCAATTAATTAATTAAACCGCAGGATGCATTCATGTAACGACCATACTCGCGTTAGAGATGATTTTATTGGAAAGCTTTAGAGCGTTGCGTTTATAACTTCTGTTATTAGCTAGTTTTATATATTGTGGCCACACGAGAATTATATCATATACATAGGTCAGTCAATGCTTCGACAGCGTCGCTTCCGTACCAACGACAATCAGATCTCTACCTGGGTCAATAAAATACCGCTTACTAAATCAACATGTGTTTTTTTGCATGCGAATTTTTTCGGTGACATATTTACGTACTCGTAGTTAACCACTAATTTTAATCAATTAGATGACGTCCCGCTACGGCTGTCGCCTCCTGTCTCATTGCTACAGATCCTGTTGCCATTGCTGCTGGTGCTACTAACATTATATACATTGTATTACCTGTTTATTATAATCATCGCTAATTCAAATATCATTTCTCATTGTCGTAAGCTGATTTAATGCAACTATATACATATATATATACGAATTAATCGTGATTACTCGCGATTGCAGCTAGTGCATGCGCCGCTGACATCACGTGCAGATTCTTTTTCTTTCTTTTTTTTCGTTTCATTTCGATCTCCTTTAGATTGCATATAGAAGTTGATCGACGAATTGGTTTTGCCAAAAGTATCTGTAACATTGGATACTCGCTAGAAAGTTGCTGGCTGCTGACGGGTGATGAACGACATACGAGAGCGTGGATTAAAAGATCTGCCTATCACTGTTACAGAAACGAAGCCCCCGGCCGGCAAACCAGCACCAGCCACGGCAGTCACGGGGGACTCCTCACACCCTACGATACTGTGGCAGTGTAATCTGTAAATCATCATCCGTGGTCTTCCGTCTCTCTCGCCAGCAGCGGCCGAAGACTTCGTCGAGAGAAGCGGAACAACGAGTGCGCACGCGAACTCTTCCCCCGGTGCTGTCGTCGGTTCAATTTGCAACGATTAATACCAGCAGAAATTTACATCGTCGCGAGTAACTGTAAGAATTGGATCGCGCGTCAGGTGTATCACACAAACACTCGTTCGTAATTGTACACGTACATCGACGCGGATATGTTGCCTC